TCCCTTCATTCCCTCCCTCGCATCGACGTCTCTTCAACTGCTGCACATCACCAAGAGCACATAAACGCTTTTAGGAGGCGAGGCTTTTATGTTCTTGATATCGCCGACCTTTCTCCACACACCGCCGGTATACCTTCAATGACATGTTTTAACTATGACCTATAGACCATATTTATACCCCTAAACTAGGTCGACATACGACGTTTCTTGTGATATGATCAGAGAACTATATCATTACCGCACCCATTCACGTTTCCCGCCATGACATTTCTTGGAGTATGAGCTGCTAAGTATATCATTATATACTTATCTGCCTATACTATACCTACCTATACTATGCCCCCCACGCATCTCTCCGTGACGTTTATTCGACTCTGCTCTATCGACTGTCTTTATTAGCGGCAATATTTCCTACAGCGCGTGCTTGGTCCCTCCTGCACGTTCGGCCATAAGTTCCTAGGTCATGTTCACACGACAGATTACCCGACGTCTTAATGACTGACTGCACACACATACACACATACGGACCGCAGATCTTAGCTGCCCTGGAAACCTGAATGGAAAGCTAGATTCGATAATAAACCCACGCAGGGAGCACGTAAGCAGAAAGGACTGTTTGCTTTTTTTCCTATGGCTGAGACAATATCAGCCGGGGGCGCTGGTAGAACCGACGAGGCAGCAGCGGTGGTGGATCCAGACAGCGTTGGATTAAAGCTAAGCCATCCATGGGCCATGCTGGACTGCCCGCGGCAAAAATTAATGCGTAACGGCGCCTCGAATCTGGAATATCGGCCGATTACCAGCAAAATTGAAAGCACAAGTTGGTTTTGCGTTCTGTAGATGTTGGGCCCCATACGACGGGTTGTCAAACAGTAAACATAGGGTTCAATAAGAAATCTGCTATGATAACTCGCACAAATGAGTCCCACAAGCCACCTCCTGATCCCATACAGTGTGCGAGTCCATGCCCAACATTCCCTCCTTCTGGGTTTGAATGCTGAAACATTGCATGACCGAGTCTGCCTTCATAGAAGAGATTACGGTAAGGTGACGCTAACATAAAACGTCCAAGCTCAAAAAAACTATTCATAATTATTTTCGTGCTTAAACCTCGAGAGATGACGAGAAGAAAATGTGTCTTTTTCCATAGTCAGTTGAAAATAGACATTACAAGTTTGGCTTCAATCCGTTGCAGCTAATTGGCCATAAATCCTAAAAAACAGAGTCCGGAAAATGGTCCATTATCTTTTTTAAGTCGTGTTTTTGTACATTTAGACCTCAGACATTGTGAAAACTGCAACTGACGTATTGTCGTAGAAGAACGGAGAAGTAAGTTAGCAAAAAGCAACAGTTTACGCTAAGTGGCTTAGTGGCGAACTGCTGACACTGATCAACGCGTGTACCAAAGGAAAAAGAAACTAGATTTCCTCTAGAGATTGCAAGAACAGATATCCCACACACACATTCAGACGGAACCTTCTGCGACACAGACATCGAAACAGATTCACCGATCTCAGGGACAGGCGCACGTCTGTGTACATCACAAGTTTAATGTTCGCATGTGCGCGTCACCTCCCAGCAATGATTCATTGATTGCTACTTGCTTGCCTTTCCTGTGGCACCAACCCACGCAAGCTGTGTCCTATCCCATGGCCCACCAGACGTATGCGCAATTATTGCTGTTATTCTTTTAAAGAATGTGTTTCCTTATCAAACAACGCTGTAGTGTGTGCACACAAGGATTACAAATAATCCACTAGCCGATTTGGGCGCTCGCCATTGAATCGCTTGCTAATTCACAGTCAAGGCTGTGCTAAATGTAGGTTAGAGTCACATATGATATCTTCTATACGACCACGACTACAAACCCAACGTAGAAAGCACAGGACACACGTATACTGGCCAACATCCGTCATCCCATCTATCAAGTCCTACTGCTACTAGTCCTGTCACCGCATCGTAAATAAAGCTAACATCTCACTCTCTAAGACAGACGCCTCGTGTTCATCGGCACACTGAATATCAGGCGCCAGGCGGTGTATGTACATATACGCAATAACTATTAGATAGTACATAATTATATATACACATTAGACATAGAAAGCAAAGGGGAGGATCAGTTATACACGTACGACGTCCGAGGACGGGACACGGAATATGTAATAGTGTACATATCTCTGGTATATATGTGTATTACCAGAAGTGAATTAAACAAACTATATTTTTATTCACTCCTAGTACGTATTACCAATAGTAGAAAAAGATTCATCCACATTAAATGAAAGAAAGTGAGAGCACTCAGAAAAATTCTAGGGGAACAATAGACTATATTAGAAAAACAAATCTGACTGCACAGACATCGCATGACATATGCCTAAAAAACAACGACAAGTATAATGTCTCTACGTGTTTTTGTGCATCTTCAACAATCAGTACTTTTTTGCTCTGCAGCCATATCATCGAATCACTCACCGGAGTAGCACGCGTAAGTCCAACGCAACTTCATTTCGACTGGTGGAAATTATTCCTCAGGTAGGTGTAATTAGCATGAAATCTGGGCCACGCATGACCTTGTGAGAGTGCTACGGCTACCTGCTTTCATTAATCAGATGCGATTAATCCATTCTGACACGTGAATAATTTCGCAAAGCTTACCCGTGCGAATCAAATCGCAGGAAAGGTTTTAGCATGCATGAGTGCACAAGTGCAGTCGCAGTACTACTATCCATTACTATTATAAATAATCATACACTATCGCTGGATGAGTCATCATAGAGGGTCATGATTTACATATCTGTGTTTGCCGTGGCTTCGTAACAAGGATGTTTAATCTCTAATGCTTCCGATGCGACTTCCGGATTATTGGCCTCAGAAAAATACTGTTCAAGATTGTAACGTGCTGAAACAGAATACACTTACACAATGTTAGATCCACTAAGCAACACTAAGTTGCCACATACTGTATCATTTCACTATGCACAATCATAAGCTGCTGTATCTTTATACTTCATTCCTCGAAGCATTAGAATCAGTAAACCATCCTTAATCAAAATTCACCCCTCCCTTTATAGTGCTATATGTTGCTTCTACTCCACAATGATTACAACATCCTGCCCTACAGATAAAATATATCATTATTACTTAATAATATTTATTCTATTAAGGTTAAGGGGTTTAAAAATCAAAAAGTAGTGATGCTCTCTCTACCTTCCTATGAATATTTTAATATTTATCTCATCATACATTTTCCCATTAAAACATGTACATATCACTTCGGTTTAGTATTGGCATTTTATGGCTGGAAATATGCTTGATATTTAAGTGAAAATCCATTAGTACTGGAAATACAGTAATTCTAACATGGTCATACAAAATGGACCCGCAATCATATATACATATTACTCATTAGTAAAGCTTTCCTCATAGAAACTCAACTATGTGATTTGTACAGCTAGCAGGCAGCTAGCAACATCTTGAAACAACAACAAAAACTACACACTAACGAGATGTTTCGAGCTAGTTAACTAGAATCCAAAGATGCATCAATTATATCAGGAGCAAATAATGACAAATTGTAAAATAACAGCTAATATGCTTGTAAAATAACAGCTAATAACATGTCTCCCTGGGTACTGCCGGAACGTACCCTGGTAACTATCTACCTCGCCTACCGTACCTCGACCGTACCTCGTATACCGGACCGTACCCAGGGTACGTTCCGGCAGTACCCAGGGAGACACAGACCCTATGAGCATTAGTAAAGCCTTCCAAGTACACTTATACTACTGTACTACTACCGTACCAACTACTGTACACGTGATTTGTACAGCTAGCAGGCAGCAAGCATATAAGCCTCCTCTTAAAATGATAAAAATATCTACATGATAACTAGATGGTTTACGTCATCACCAATAAGGGGCTTAATGCCTCAAGCTTCACACAGCTTGCCCATAGTCTTTCAATGCAACGTATGATCTTCTGAGTTCGGATTTCATTAGCATGGATGGTTACATGAAACGCGCCCGTATGTTCGTGATTAACAGCGAAGGAGTTAAGAACGGGTTAGTTACACTGCGATGACTAAGAAGCAAGCGCTGAGCAGGGCAGCGAGAAGGTCACGGCACGGCAGAAAGAAACTTCAAACTACAGGTTTTGAAAAAGGTATACCCGCCCTCGTCTCTCTCTCTCTCTCTCTCTCTTTCTCTCCTTCTCGCTCTCAAGTTGCTCTCTCACACACACAGAGACGCTCTCTCTCCCCCTCTCTCTCTCTCTCTCTCTCTCGTCTCTCGTTCTCTCCTCTTCTTCTCTCTCTCTTATCTTCTCTCTCATCTAAACTATCTTCTCTCTATAACTCATTCTATCTCTCTTTCCTCTCTAAATCTCTCTCTCTCTCTCTGTCTCTCTCTCTCTCCTCTCTGCCTCTAACTATCTATCTCATCTCTATCTTCTTTCTCTATTCGTTTCTGTCCTCTCTTCTCTCTCCTCTCTCTCTCTCTCTTCGTCTCTCTCTCTCTCTCTTCTCTCTCTCTCTCTCTCTTCTCTCGCTCTCTCTCTCTCTCTCTCTCTCCTCTCTTTCTTCGCTCTCCTCTCTCTCTCTCTCTCTCTTTCGTCTCTCTTCTCTGCTCTCTCTCTCTCTCTCTCTCTCTCTCTCTCTCTCTCTCTCTCTCTCTCGTTCTAGATGAATTGGTGAAGTACAGGCCAAGTTTCAGCGAGTATATATATTATTGATTGACAAGAGTTAATTAATTACGAAGAATGTTGCACCCATGCTCCCCTTTATGTATAACATACACTGAAAAACTTTTAATGATTAAATTAGCATTATCGATCTAAAGGGCAAACATCAGCAATGTCGTCTAAACTAACACTCAGGAATATTTTCTAAAATACATGGGCACGGCTAGAAAAACAGAAAAATGATAGGCAAAGCTTCAACAGCATAACGATGGAGGGATGGCAGACATTGCTGCACAATACGTGATGCTCTGTCTGTACCTGATAGCTTTTGCTGAGTCGGTCCAAAAGTTTTGCAGCCGGATAGAGAAAGTGCTTGAAGAAACCCACCGTGTTACCATGGTAACGTTCATTGAGAAGCTCGTGTAGATGGGAGGAGAGGATTGGAAGCACGTGCGTAGGGTAGAGTGGCCCAAATACCCTTTCTATGTGATGCTGAAGCTCAGATGCCTGAAAGAGAAAGCACCGAAACAGAAGGTTAAACTAAATCTTATTTCACATCAGAACTTACTGTGACAAATACGGGATTACTGCCAGTTACTATATCTTAAGAATATGGTGAGTATCTAGACGTTAACATGATGCAAACCGCTTACATGTACGTTTTGATTGAACTGAGCTTGACGAATTAATTAGCTGCTGTTTGGGTTAGTCATACTTGTGTTAACTGTAAAAGATTTATGACATCTCAAATATCTGTTGAGTGTCACTGCAGACTGATATGAATGCTACAGACTTACAGTGTTACTGTTACTGTGCACAACTCAAATCCTACATCTAAAAACTTGAACAAATTGATAGCTTTATCATAAAGTATCATTCATAGATTCATTAAAATTTCTTTGAATCAGAAGTTTATCATTTGACAATTAAACAGCATTATTTGAAAGATTAAAATGTCATATTTAATGTACTATGTAATGGCATTATAAGAATAATAATATAATATACATAGCACCCACCTAAATAATACCATATAAACCCATTCGAGAAGATTATTAAAACTCTATAATTCTTACCATCTTCAGCAACTGCTTCCAAGTTTGCTGTGAGCACACCTGTATGCAGGCACGATGCACTGTGATTCGTGAACACACCCAGCAGGTCTGCTATCCTTCACGCTATAGTTACGTTTTCCCATGCCTGCACGCAAGCGAACCACTATCACGTAATAGTGTGTTCGCTGACTACATCAGCAGATATCAGCGAGTAGCTGGGCGCGGACATGTTCCGTGATACGTGACTCAACACAAAAAAAACCTGTGTACACAATGGCCCCGTCCGAGACAGGCTTGTCGCTCGCAGCACTTACTAGTGCATTTACTCCCTCGCCCGACATATAAACTGCATGTGATACAGATGGCAAATGCTCGCAAGCATCTAGACAGTAGAAATAACGACCGAGACGATACATGCACTATGGCAAGCGCAGCACAGATGCTGCTGGCATGAGCCGGCGGCCCGGCACAAATTTTTACCAAATGCTTCTTGGCATTCTTTTCATGCCCACGCGAATTTGGAGACTCACATTCGTGACCCGAACCGAATTTTACTCTAAGTGTACCAGATAGTTTTACTACTTTTCAATCTACAGTAAGACTTGGCTTGTATACAACGACATGCCACGTTTAAACTTACGATATATTCGATCTTGCTAAATGTCACATAAAACATAAAAGCATGTTTTAAGCTATATAAACAAGAATTACGCTAAAAATCCTAACATTAGCAACCACACCTGACCTCTGGCACCAAAAACTAATGCAAATTATTGAAATATAACTTATTACCTGTGAATATTCCATGTACTGTGGCTCCCACGCTTTCCTCTCACCTATTCTGCTAGCAACTATCTGGAAGCAAACATGATAAATAAACAACTAATAAATCGATAAACAAGTAATAGGATACCAATTTGTGTTTACCAATGGAAAAATATTGAATACTTGTGCAATTGGCACTGCACACATACAATGAAGTTGCCAATTAGGGAAAAGTAGCATTGAGGTTAGAAGAAACATAAATTACATCGAAGACAAACAGTAAATTATACATAAGCTACAACTATAATTATGCAGTTTTTGAAATTAAGTCTCATTGTGCATGTGAAAGGCACAGGATATATACCACTTGTACCTAGAATCAAAGGAGTGTAGAGTACAAATTAAATAAGAGTTATAATATATGTGTATATACATATAAAGTCCCCCTAAATACATATTATAGATGAACATGTCTTATATAGTATAGATGTGTTCATGCTAGGGGGAATATTTATTCACAAGTTCTTACATTCGGAACGGCTAAATTTAAACCTGTACCAAAATATTAAATCCCACACTATATTTGAACTTGTGTATAATACTTATAAATAGCTTACTTGGTGTAATTACAGTTGCTGAATCTGGTATCTCAGTGCTCGAAATAAGAAAAAAAATGTGGTTGTCCTGCGGACAACCCCGGCATCAAATCGGGTTGTCCGCAACAATATCTGGTTGTCCCAAAAAATATCCCCAAATCTTCTATTTTCAATCACATAATAATATGATCAGAAAACACCCAAAAACAGTGGCGTAGCCAGGATTTTTTAACAAGGGGGCCAAAAACAGCAAACTGCGCAAAATAGTGGATGACTTAATATTTTACTGGCTCCTCCGCCTCCCTCTCCACACCCTACGGCTCCTCTACCTCTCAGCTCCGCAATCCTTGTTTTGGGCGCCATGCGAAAAGGCGACATTTTTGTTCATTGTTCTCTGCTCCCAAGATATGTAATTGTTCAGTGGTGGGTCTAGGATTCCAAGGAGGGGGGTGAAAAACAGGCGGGGGGTATGGGGGTCCTCCCCCAGCAAATTTTGGAAACTTGCTGGTTTGCTGGTTCCAAATCGAGTTCACCTCTCATAAATCAGAAAACCTGACATATACCAGTGTTGGAAATAGCAGCTGGTCCCATATTTTTATCTTATTCACGATTTAATTCACGATTAAGATTTCTTGATGAGCTAGAAAACACTCGGATTTGAAGTATGAAACTGAGCATTATTGTGCCAGCTAGCCTACACTAGTTGGTTGGGATTGATTGTCAGTTCAGATGCAAAATATTGAAAGCAAAAGGCTATACACCATAGATTAATTGGGTACCACGCGTATATAAGATAGCCGAGTCGGTTTAGAGTTAGTGTTAGGGTTAGGGATAGGGATAGGGTTTCTTGGTTGTCCACCGGACAATGTCTCAGACTGGTTAGGTTGTCCGGTGCAAATTCTGGTTGTCTCGGACAACCGGACAACGCTTATTTCGAGCACTGTATCTACTTACAGCTGAACAAAATTTAGCAAAGTGTTGAAGGGCGCTGGACCCACTATATACTCTGTATGAGTGTATCACAAACTGCCTACATTTGATCTATTATACCTTTTAACATTTGCCTGATTTTTGTCATAGGTAAAACGACATTTGGCATATATTCCTTAACTACAATATCAACCATGAAGAGTGTGATGTGACAAAAAAATGCAAAAGCTTAAGCAATCCCTGGCAAGTTAACCAACCAAAATGGTATGTGCGATAGGACACATACCCAGGCTTGACCGACATGCAAGCGCTATGCAGAGCTGTGATTGAGCTCTCTGATTACGGAAGTCTCTGAAACCCCACCAACGGCACAAACACAAACAGTAGTTATTACACAAAAGCTTCTATGCCATGCTCTCGCATAACGTTGGCATTTAACTGACCATTGAATCAGAGTATGTGTAGCCTCATTACATACAAAACCTAGCCAGCTAAGCCCATTGTTAATCACGTTTCCAGCGGCTGCATTATGTACCAATTTGGATAGACTACGTACTACAATGAAGGCAGGCAGTGGCAGGTCACTCCGGCAGCTGTGCATGTCTTACATTTCCCTAGTGATTCAGCCAGCAGCAGCTTATAATCTGTGTAAATGGACTGGTCAGTCCTGAGATTGTGCACGGTGTACATGAGACTGCTGATTATGCACTAAATGACCGAAACACACTAGCCTACCACTACCAGTTTGTCTACATTCTAAGAATGCCAGCTCACCTAAGATAAAACTATTTGATCCCATAAATATACTGGGGTAGAAATTAACTTTTGAACGCGGGAGTCCAACCCCCTACCCTCAAAAAAAAGGAGTCCGCAGTCTGAAGTTCAAAAATTAAAGATATTAACAATAACGCATGGGCTTATTTTTAAGATTCATGCGGTTGCACGTCTGCTAAATTTTCTTTGGACATTAGCTGAAAAAATACGGTAATTCCACGAGGCCGTGCTCCGGAACGAACTAGTTAGTATGGCAGAATTTTCAGGGAGTCACACGAACTCCTATATCAAACTCCACGACAGATGGCGCTCTCGCTCTGACATGGACTCAATCTATCCTGAGTGTACGAAGGGGCGCTGCATGCAGTTTGCTCCTGCATATAAATGTCAAATCAGGGAGTCCGACAGTAAATCAGGGAGTATTTGACTCCGAACTCCCGTTAATTTCGCACCCTGAATATATATGCATCAAACGCATATTTATATAAAACTAACGCTGAGATGGTCTATGTCCCCCAGAGTACTGCCGAAACGTACCCTGGTACTATCTAATATGCCGGACCGCACCTCGCCTACTCCACTAACGAGTCTAAGGAGTCGCCTATGCCTACTCCATAACCCCAACCCTAACGCTAACCATATCAGATAGTTACCAGGGTACCCAGGGTACGTTCCGGCAGTACCTTGGGGGACATAGACCCTAGGCTATGGCTGAGTATGAGCAAAACTAACGCGCAGATATCTTATGATATAGACTTATAGTTCCTGTACTCGTGTTATATATACAATAGTCAATAATGTAACGTACCACAGAGAAGGCAACAATACACTTTTGTTAAATTACATTATTGACATGTATCTACTAATTTTTATTACTACTACTAGTAATTTAGTGCATGCTAGTGCATTTAATGCATTTTAGTGGTATATGCTCGTGCATCATGCATGTTCAAGATGTTGTTGGCACGGGCATCGTCGGTATAATTATGTGTGTAGATTACAGCCTACAGGTAAAAAAGAATTCAGGGCACGGGTGAAAGGTTGTAACCAACTTGCTTACTGCTAATTAACCAATAAACCACAATAAACTGCCCTGTAAGATCTTTCCCTGATCATAATACCTTTCAGACCTACCGTTCAATTAACGGTCGATCAACAAGCGTGTGTGAAATTGGGTACTCTGTGAAATTATTCACCTGCTGCCATCTGCGGGAAAAACTAAGAATAAGAATAGTGATGCAACCATAAAAATAGTATACGTATATATACTACATAATATATTGTATATATACGGTGTCTCTGTATATTTCTATGGATGCAACTAACAACGACATTTCTTTAAATTATAATAATATTACACGAGCACAGTCTATAGATGCACGAACGCACAAACAAACAAATAAACAAACAAACGAACGAACGGACGAATGAACGAACAAACGAACGAAAAACGCAAGAATGCACAAACGCGCACACACACGTACGCGTGAGTGAAAGATTCAGAGAGCAGGCGCGTAGCCAGGGGGGGCGGTGGGGGCGGTCGCCCCCCCCAAAAAACGCGGAGATAGTGTCATCAGACATGAGAATATGGCCCACAGTATGCCTCAGATTGCAGGAAAATGGCTTAAATGGTTCAAAATTTTCGGGGGGGGGCATGCCCCCAGACCCCCCTTACACTGCCATGCCTACGGCACGTGCCAAACGTACGGTTGTCAAATTTGGCATGTGCGTGCATGTATGTATGCATGTATAAATGTATGTACGTGTGTGTGTGTGTGTGGGTGTGTGTGTGTGTGTGTGTGTGTGTGTGTCGTGTTGTGTGTGTGTGTGTGTGTGTGTGGTGTGATGTGTTGGTTGATATGTTCGGCGTGGCGCGATCGCGCGCGTTGCGTAAATTATGTGGCTTACGATCGTGCTAGTTATGTGATGGCTATTCGCCGATCATCCCCGCCCCTCCCAGCTCCTGCGTACGGATTTGACGCCCGACTGATCTCGCACACTTCAGGAGGTGCGTCATACATTGCGCCCCCCGCCAAAAAAAAAATCCTGGCTCCGCCCTGTCAGAGAGACATCATCATTGATTGCCAATGATGTAGTCTCATGGGGCAATGGGCAGCTGCCTCCACCTAGATTTTGGATAAAAACTAAATAATGAATGCCTGATAGATACAGTTCATATATGAGTATATGGCCTCTTTATTTTCAATATAGTTTATGTGTATTTAACGGAATAATTAATTTCTGGTAGATAGTATATAATAGGGACGCGCGAACAGAGAAAGTACATTTGGACATTAGAAAATTAGACAACTAGATCCCCGTCACCATGTGTCTGCTGTCTACATTTCAGCATTACACCTTATTTACGTCCTATTGCCCCGTCATCTTTAACTTCTTCCATCCATTCTTCCCTGTGCGTCTCTGGCAATATATCGTGGTTGTTGTTGTTGTTTTTGTTTTGTTTTTATCTCAGACGAATATTTAACCTTTAGGTACGGTTAGTAGTAGGGTTTTAGACTATCGCGGTACGAAGCTGCATGGCTTGCTCATCGGGAAATTACGCGTATCCGTTATTTAAAACAGTACCAAGAAGGCACGCTCGCCCATATACACGTATGCGGGTGCTGATTTTTATTATAGATGTTGTCACTTTTATATGTAACCAACCGTAGTTTTAAACATTTTAAAACAAATAATGATACAATTTCAAGCTAGTAAAAACAGAATAGTTTCATTTTCCCTAGCGTGTTATATGCTAGTATATATGTACCATTTGTGATAATATATTATGCAGTTTGTGAATTTATTTTTAATTTATCTAAATATTGCATGGGTGATCAGTTTTATACGTAGGAATAAGATACTAGATAAAACATATATAATATACGAGTGTTGCTATATATTTCGATGATATTTATATGACGTATACAATGCAATGACGTTTGCGCGTTTGTTGTTTGACGTAGTTTCGTTCACATGGAAACGCGTCTCTAGCGTTGTCATAGAAAACATTTGCATTGTTTTTGATTGTTATGAGCTAATTCCACGAGGCAAGAGAAACGTTCCTTTGAAGCTCAGTCGTTCGCTGGTTCTTCTTGCTGTACGTCGCACGCTGAGTTTCTCGGACTAAAATATGGCTGGTAAGAATCTATTTTCATGTAAATTAGTTAAAAATGTGCAATTTAGAAGCCGAATACGTCTGGGCTCACGTATATACATCATTACATGTGAGTTTTCCTCTTTTACACGGTTCATGAATGCGGTTTATGATCAGTTCAAGATCATATGGCACTTGGAATTTTATTTACAACTGTGACTGTTTAGTTACATTAACTACAATATATTATTATTATTATATTAAACTACAATAATTGCTGTTTTTCAGCGCGTAGACGTTCCCGGAGTGCATCTCGCAAAAGGACTGTCGCAAAGAAGAGTGTGTCACCGAGGCGCAGATCCCGAAGTGCATCCCGGGGAAGGAGCGCAAGCCGACGCCGCCCAACTCCTGTGGTACCACAGAAACTTGTTGTTAGGGTATGTTGTGTTGAGCTTTTCATAACATTTTGACATTGTACTTTTTTTGTTAATGATTTCCGCCCCTTGCAAAATGTTCTCGCACGCGCACATTGCAAGATATGCCTCTAATGCTCTATTAATATGCGACTATGAATAATATCTATGCAAAAAATCTACTCATATAGGCTGTACTATTTATTCTAAACTAATAATAATATTCGAACGCTAAAACTCTATACTTCTGTAACGAATGCTCTTGGCGATTTAAGATGCACTTCATTTCTAATTATTGCGATTGCTTTAATTTGTGATTAAAAAATTACTTGTAATTTTGCAGGTCCCCGCAACCAGAGTGCTGCGATCCCGCACTATCAAACTAGTCCTAGCAACTCAGTCTGTGACGAAGAAGCGCACCGCTAGCAAGCAGCGTAGGAGCTCCAGCAAAGTGAGGAAGATACGCAAGCCGGCGCGCAGTGCTAAGAAGCCAGCACGCACTGCTAGCAAGCCAGCACGCAGTACTAGAGTTCTGCGCCGCCGCCGTCGTTAGAACATGCACGCCCTTTACATTATCAATAGCAGCTCTTTCCTCCCACGATAGCAAAAAATAACGACTAGATTTGCGCATTTTGGATAACAAATTCTTCTACATAAAACAAGACTTTTGAGAATGTATGAGTTCCTGTAAGAGCGTCTCTATGTCAAATTCACATATTTCTAGTGATTATTGGTGATCTAAAACGGAACAGACAACTTGTAACAATGTAAGCCACAACTCAGTCATGTTGGATACATGAACGAATAAACTATATATATTTTTGTATACAAAATTATTTTCATTCTTCGTTGTTGTTACACTGTTCAGTCATAATATTGATAATGTGTGAACGCAGGAATGCATATGCCTGGAATATGCAGTTCTGCTATTCACAAAACAGCGCCAAAATTACTTCTACACTGAACTTTGATCTGTCGAGCGACACATTCCGGTGTACGTGTTACAGTATCGCGGGGAAAATTTTCTGCCAGAAGGTTCATTCGCTAAAAACGTATTATGTATCTCACACACCCACACATTCCCATGCGGGTACGGGATTAAAGTACAAATGTGAATGCAATTTTACTTATTACGTTCATGCCAAATTAAAAATGCACACGCAAGTCAATGTTTACGCGTTGTTAAATAATCATTTTAAAATCCGCTCGGCGCTGTACAAGTTACTTGTGGCCATACTTTATGCGCATATACACAGAGGAATGACACAAGCAGCTTCTGTCTAAAGCTTCGTGTAACACGGCATATGCAAATCCGATGTGCAAAAGACGGTTTTGCGCCAGGGATCGTTTCAATCGCCATGGTTCGACATTTGGTTTTGTCGATTACGTCTATAGCTACACGTTTTAATACACGTAGTACACTTTACACATAGTAATGCTACTACTGCATTGGGCCATAACATCCTCTAACACCCTCGAAAGAGCCGTGTAGAATATCTTATCTATATCATCTGCGAACGATATCAAATGGCTTTATAGCGCGTCCATGCAGTAGCGCGTCAAAACAAGAGCGTCAGAGAAAATAAATATCGAAGTGACAGACAGAACAATGTACTTTCCAACTGAAATACAAGCAGCTTTATTCCCATAGAATGGGTTGAACAGTCGCCAGTACAGATTGCGGACTTGGGCTGCACTTGCAGCAAGTCTAAGTTTTGATTACTTCCTATCATCACTTTTCTAGGAGGCCCGACACCATATAAAAGGTAGACACAATGTTATGCATTGTTAGTACATGTAGATTGTCACACCGCTGCACATATCAAAAGGAGCAAGGATTAGGAAAGTCATCTAACTGAAACCTGCCTTAAGGAAGGATGCGACGGATGCGTTTTCTGCTAAACAGTTCTGCACCGAGAATTCTCTGAAGTGATACTGTAGCTGTTTATACCCTAGAGCAATCTCAACGGTTAGTAAAATACCATCGACAAATCAAGCATCATGCGAATCACTGCAATAAGTGAAGATGAACTGATCCAATTAATTAAACGCCATACCAATGACTTTTAAATATTACATGACACGATATAAAATGGTTTGATGCCAAAAGAGTGTAGAGCGATGCAACATAGTTTAGAATAAGTTCTGCCAAAGCGCACATACCAATTCGGTACTGATGAACTGCAGTAGAAGGATTTAGTCACACCATTGAAAAAACCACTAGGGCTGATTACGTTAGTTTCATTATTTACAACCATTTGCCACTAGCAGTCATATCCAACCATGAAACTGAAAAGTGAAAGGCCACAGCACAGTATTTAGTCATAGGCTACGAAAATCCGTTCGCTATCTTTATGCGTGCACCACCTTAAAAATAGAAACGGCTCTTCACTCAGCAACGGATATAAAATTATATTCGGTACCGAGAAAAGATTCGATGCTATCCATTTTATATACTTTGAAATTGAAGAATTGTCATCGCCTTGAATACACTGCACACATAGTTACTGTTTAAAATCTGTTTAAATCGCACACCAGGAGGCGCTACCTACTCACCGTAACCCATTTTCCCTACGATAACATCGCCGTAGATGTTAGGGGTGTGGACACCTAATTTTCCCCCACTCACTTATAGTACCTACGTGCATTCAGAGAAAATTCTATGGTCTGGCCATAGCGCCTGCAGTGAACCTAGGGTTTCTTTTGATACCGACTATGGCGACTACTTCCAAATCCACGAATTAAACTACTTTAAATTATATTTATTCTCATCGTGGAAACAATCCAAACGTATGCAACCAGATTCCATTCATGCCATGCCATTAAATGACGTTGCCGGATACATCGTATAAATTACGCGACTGTTAGTGTTAATCATAAGTACAAATTAATAATATTCTGGCCTCGTGACTCCATAATACTAAACAAAATCACTCAAAAACTCGACACCATTCTAGGATAGCGACTGTACAATCCCAAAAAAATTATTTACAGAATAAGTTAATAAATTTTACCCCGTTAAATATCTTTCGCATACTGATCGGCGAACCCCTTTATGACCACGCTTGTCATATACGTCATCTGCTATTCAATAAGCACGAACAAAATATTATCAATCAAGAAGATCAGACACAAACTTAGAAAAATAAAGCTTTTGTTGGCAAACCTGACTAAACTAAGAATAAATCACCGTTAGTAGGTGCCATACTTGTGCAATTATTTAAAACAATTAGATTTTTGAATCCGTAAGTGCAGCCACAGCAACAAGATAAATGTGTATGTAAACGTAATCCTTATATGTAACGTATATATATATGTATATGTATATATCATCATATATTAATGTTCATTCAAATCTCTGTTGTGGGCATTGCCTATATATTCAACTTGCTTCTCATCCACATAAATGTAGAGGTCGAATTCACTAAACTCTAACATAATTAGCTTCTAGAAACGTGTAACATTGCTGGAAATCTCCTAACAAATGAAACTACTTTCCATTGATTAACTCACACACACGCGCGCGCACGCACGCGCACGCACGTACGCACGCACGCACGCACACAACGCCCTGATGATTAACATCAAGAGTACATAATAGGAGAGTACATCTCCTATTATGTACTCTTGTTAACATGCATATTGCAAACATGACACTTAACAAATCTAGTAAGAATGAATACATTACGCATAGGCTCTCGCATGCTTCACATTTATACTACGTAGGGGCAATGTTGCAGAGTTTCACAAGTCACGGGAGAAGTATTTACGCCCAAATATAGTCACCATAGAAGAAACATCGTATCACAGATTGTGAACAAGAACTAAGATGAGAAATTCCCTACTTCACATGTTTCATACATTGTGTAAGCTAGAAGAAAACCTACGTGTCTGTCTTATAAGAGTCACTACCATACTATCATCACGATGAAGTACAAGTATAGACACAAAATAATTGATATCTTGTCGCCATGATCTCAGTTCGTCTAGTTTGACTCGACTGCCTCTCCCGGTGATATAAATCCTTTCACTTTTGCATTCATACTGACCGACTATATGATAGATCTCTGGTTACATCTAGAGAGTCACACGGTCCTGTGTGCTGCGTCAGGTAATAAAATACAAAAGCTACCGTATTAACGAAGCCTCTGCAGCTTTTGATTACATTTCACACGTCAACCCCTCGTTCAGACGAAGAGAGCAGACGTCTTCAAGTGGCCGTGATGAACAGTGAGCGACAAGCCTGCGGAGCGGAGCGCTGGTCACAACAAATACGGCAGACTTGTTAGTCACTCGATGATCATTGTAACCCAGGGGACCACGTCTACACTATAGTCTGCAATGAACAGTCTAAATGGCAGAGTATCGAACTGCACACACATCTTCAAAACATGCACACACACGCACGCACACACGTGAGTTATTTTACTCAAGTAAAATGACGCATGAGTCATTTTACTCACGTGCGCCTCGGATTTTCGTTGAGTAATTTGACGCATGCGTCATTTTACTTGAGTAAAATAACTCACGTGTGCGCCGGGCTTAAGCACGCACGGACGCGCACATACGTGCGCTACACACTGAACAGAAACACGCACACACGCATGCATACGTGCAACTACACACCGAACGCACACACGCACGCACGCACGCACGCACGCACGCACGCACGCACGCACACACACACAGACACACTAAATCCTCTATCCACCCCCCTCCCCAATCCGCTGACTCTACTCCGACGACGACGACGGCGACGACCCTGCAGGACAGCTCTCCTGCCTCCCGCATTTCGCCGACGTGCGCGGCGACGCGGATTGCGGCCGCGGCTTGCGCGCCGTCTCGGGCGTCAGCGACGACTCGCTGTTGGAGCTTCGCTGGCGCCGCGGCCCCGCCGACGACGGCCGCGTCCGCCTGGTGGCGGTCCCCGGGAAGCTCTCGCTGTCGGACTCGCCGCTGTGTGAGTGTAACGACGTCGACATGCTGTTGTTACTCCTGAAGCAGACGATAATGCAGACGTCAGGGGCCCGTTGTCAGAAACAACATTAGTCTTAACATTGATCTTAACATTTTTACTGATAACATTAACTTTTTATCATAGACAGGCCCTCTATATACTGCGTATGTGAACTGCAGCTTCTCACGCAGATCATAGGATATAGTTCTCTCTCTTTCAAACATCTCTCTTTCTCTCGCTCCCTCCCCTCTCTCTGTCTCATGCTTTCTATCTCTCTCTCTCTTTCACTCTCATTTTCCCTCATACACACACCCGGTCTCTTCTTTGCACACACTCTATCCCCTCTCTCCCCTCCTCTTCCCCACTCATCTCTCTCTCTCTCTCTCTCTCTCTCTCTCTCTCTCTCTCCTCTGCTGTGTCTGTGTCTGTGTCTGTGTGCTGTGTCTGTGTCTGTGTCTGTTGTCTGTGTCCTGTGTCCTGTGTTCTGTGTCCTGTGTCTGATGTCTGTGTCTGTGTCTGTGTCTGTGTCTGTGTCTGTGTCTCGTGTCTTGTCTGTGTCTGTGTCTGTGTCTGTGTCTGTGTCTGTGTCTGTGTCTGTGTCTGTTGTCTGTCTCTCTACTCTCTCTCTCTCTCTCTCTCTCTCTCTCTCTCTCTCTCTCTCTCTCTCTCTCTCTCTCTCTCTCTCTCTCTCTCTCTCGTCTCTCTCTCTCTCTCTCTCTCTCTCTCTCTCTCTCTCTCTCTCTCTCTCTCTCTCTCTCTCTCTCTCTCTCTCTCTCTCTCTCTCTCTTCTCTCTCTCTCTCTCTCTCTTACTAAGATGGCAATGAGCAAGCTGTGGTGCGAATAAAAAAACATAATTCAATTGCGCCAGCCTGCAT